CAGAATCCTGCCGACTTTCCTATTTTTGCCTTGTATCCGCACAGTAAAGGCTAGGCAACGCTACCTCTTCGCTACCGGATTCTAGGTCACCCTTGCTCCTACATCTGTATAAATACCCAGAACCCTGGCACTTTCCTATTTTTGCCTATATCCGCACAGTAAGGCTAGGCAACCCTACCTCTTCCTACCGGACAACTCGTAGGTTGCTGCTCTTTATATGATGACTGTTGCTGTCGTATTCTTCTGCATGTGTAAGGTCTTTCTTGTTTGTGTAATTCAGTGACCTGAAGAAGGGCTTAGGCCAGAAACATTGTCAATAAACTTTTGGAAGAAAAGAAGAGCCTCTCACTCCCATATATAAGAACAAGCCTTAATACAATTAAGCTCAGGGAACCATCTATATTATCTGATATCAAGCTTGCTCGCAAAACATTTCACTTTTGGAACAAAGTTTTCAATTGAAAAAGGGGCATTACTTATGTGCCAATCCAATGTAAGAGATTGACCGTTACACAAAAGGAGACACCGAGTCGTATCTGGTTGGAGAGAGAATCAAATAGGCCTAAAAAGTTCAAGTCATTTGAGTCTCTAAGAGAAGTAAACCATTGCGACGGGGAAGACTGAATTCTCCAGCTAATAAACATATGTTGCCACATGCACTCAAATCACTGATGGCTTCAATGAGTTGGTCATTTTTTTTGAGTGGTCCAAGAAGGCGATCAACAGCAATAACTTTAGAGTTATTGCTGTTTATAGATCGCCTTCTTTTTTTACCATAGAGTGAAACCAGATGTCACTGATCAATATTTCATATGAATCTTTTAATGACTCACTAAAGACTATGTTAGCTGAATAAGGATACTTAACCATGATGGCTACACCCTCACATCTTCTGCCTATCCTATCTGCACGATGAATTTCAAACTGTGTTAGCGATAACCCAAGCAAAGGAGTCGCATCGATTGTGGAATTCAACCAAGTTTCAGTCAAAATAATCAGATTAGGGTTTTCTTTACAATTAAAACCTACCAGTGCATCAGCGTTTTACTATAGATCGAATATTGGATAAGACACAATTTATACAGAACTGATCAAACCGCAGAATGTATAAAATTTTCCACAAAATCTATAATACCATCATATTTAGCACCAGAGGAATTTGATAAATAGTAATGCCGAGGAGAAATTATCAGTTTCCCCTCAGTGCCGCCGGAAATGATTAACGTCATTGTGCCCAAAAGGTTTTGGGAATTCAAGCAGGTTCCCGGTGAAAGTGGGCAGTTCAATCTTGGAGAAAAGGGTTGTCGATCAGATTCATATGTGACGTTCTAAGGACATTTTGATGTAGGTAGTCCGGTTACCATGATGATTACAAGCACACTCACGTGACATAAAGATGTTTGATTTGATCGATTCCTGTATTTTTGGTGCTGCGTTGGCGGCGTGGCGTTTGCTTCTTCTTCTGTCTTCGTCGTATTGCTGGTTCTTTTGTTGTTCCGTGTCGCCATGTTGTGAAGTTTGTAGTCGTCAAAAGGTAGCATAGCTTCCTCATTGTCGTGACGTATGAAATACAGCCGCAAACTCCGTTAACTGAACCTTACCCTCTCATGAGTGAGGCTTACATATCACCCGATGTGATATGAACTTATAGGCGAAAACAGGTGCTGAGTGGATATGATAATCATGTTCAGAGGGTCGGACTGACCTAGGAGGCATGTTCGCAGCGAATTTGGGTGGTTTATGGTATCTTGGCGCCGACTCCTGTGGCGCGGGCGCCAGATATTAGTTCGTGTCAACGGATGTGATATTCTTTTCAGAGGGACTAGCTATCCCTAAGGAGGGAACTTGGCTCTTTGTACATCTTTATTTTTAGAACCAATTCAGGCAGACAACATTCTCTGCCATCGTCGCCATCGTCTGCCATCGTCGTCAACGTGTTCAACAAAACGCGATCAGTCTCCCTTATGTGAAATAAAAGACGAAACGAATAGCCAAACAAACGAGCGACCTCTAAAAGACACATAGTACGCTCACACACATTGAGGGTGTATGAGACTATCAGCCCCCAGCTGTCGTTGTGTCGTGGTCCCTCCGCCCAAACATGCCCAGTAATGGAGATACAGGACCGTGAAACACGCTAGTTCATCCATGCTCCGCCTTACACCTTTTCGCGGCGCAGATTCCCGTCCTACATAACATCCGTCGTAAGCGGGCGTGTCGCGTGCGGCTCCTGGCACTTTGCCAAGTCCTTTAACTGCGCTTTCAAATACAAGTAAAACGCAATTTCCTGATGCGGATAACACTGGAGGCGCTGGCAAAGGTTAAGAACAGAAGATGATGACGAGGGTCAGAACTTAAAAGCAACTGTGCCACTTCTGCAACATCCCTCGGAGGCCGCGTATTTTCACGAAACATGAAAATAAAAACGGCATACTCGTTAGTTTGATGCAAGCAAAACGCAATTTCCTGATGCGAATAAAATTTGAGGTGTTGCTCATGCTTCAAAATCCATGTACAAGGAGAGACACAGGCTAGAAATGAAGCACAACGATGTAAATGCAAATAAAACAAAAATGAAAAAATCAAGGGAAGGCAAATTAATTAAAATCGCTTGTACATTTTTACGACCCGGCGCGAATCGGGCGCCAAAGCCATGGAAGCCTTAGAACAAACGAGTGGGACGCTTGGGTTGTTTTTATTCTCATGTTTTGCGGGAATGTGCGGCCTCTGATGGATACTGTAGATGCAGCCGAGTTGCTCCTGAGTTCTGGCCCTCGTCATCATCTTCTGTTCTTATTTTGTAGCACCTCCAATTTATCCGCATCAGAAAATTGTGTTTTACTTGTATTTGAGAGCACAATTAAAGGACTTGGCAAGGTGCCAAGGAGCCGCACGCGACACGCGCGCTTACGACGGATGTTATGGAGGACGGGAATCTGCGCCGCAAAAAGGTGTAAGGCGGAGCATGGAGGAATTAGCGTGTTTCACGGTCCTGTATCTCCATTCCTAGGCATGATTGGGCGGACGGACCACGACACATCGACGGCTGGGGGGGGGGGCTGATAGTCTCATACACCCTCAATGTGTTTGAGCGTACCATGTGTCTTTAAAACAACACTACTCTTGCATTGTAAACAAAACCGCTGACTATCAACTGATTCTCAAATCCAGCATTTTTTGGATCTACCCATACTGGGCCTTCAGACTTGTTTTGAATACAACGATTCTTTGATCGGGAGCAAGTTTTTGTTATCAGTGGCAAAATCACTACTGTGACAACGCTGATCTATTCCGGTGTAGTACCTAGGAGGAATACCCATTTTAAAATTACAGCCGAACTGAGCCGCACGATCGATCGGAAGTGAATATGAGGAGTGTCTGCCGAGTTGGTTGGGGCCACCTGTCGGATGAAGTCAATCACTAGCTCCATCAAGGAAATTTTGAATTCATTTCGAAGTTAGCAGAAAGCGAAACCCTCTTCAACAACAGAAGCTCTGTTCTCTCTCAACATGACTTTTTTGCAATAATTTGCTTTTAATCATATAAGTCAATTCGCTGCTGGTGGTGATTGAGATGTGCTATTAATTTTGGATTGTCCTGGATTTGTTCGCTGCGCATTCCCATTTAGTAAGCAGGGGTGGTAAGCAATGAATTTTTCTGGTCCAGATTCTTTTACGGTATAGCAAGAATCCAAATTGAGTATCAAAGCAAGGGTACTCTAAACTAGAACGACACCTCGTAAATTGCAAGCCCGCCGTAGACATGAGCTCAACACCGTATTCGACGCAACACCCGTATTCGACGCAACACCTTCCTACCTATAAGAGGCTGGTTGCACACCACTATGTCTTTTATTAAATAAATCTTCAGCATACTTTGCGTTTTCTTCTCCGTTGAAGAGTGGCAGATTTTTGGTTTTATTACTAGTGTAAAGTCATTTGGTGGGGCACAATTTCTACCCTCTCTCCCCAATCCAGCTAATTGTGATTTGACAGTTCTACATAATTAGTAGTGAAATATAAAGATTACCGGCAATACTGAAGTCAGAGAGAAGCATCTATAGAAACACTAAATTACTTGTCATTTTCACTCTTTCGAATTGAAAATTACTAGACAGTAAGAAGATTAACCAGTAAAAAGGCACCACAGACATTGCTTGTCATGCCAATCCAACCGACGTGGCAGTCTGAGTGGTGCTTGCTGACGATACGCTACAACGTGGGGAGATGTTAGCGCTCCGGTCACTTCAGCGCTTACAAATGGGGAGGAACACAAGGAAGAAATGATAGGCTCACCCTTCTTCGGATGTGAGATCAATCCGTTGGCGTTTGCTTCGTCTTGGCTCAGATGTACTGCTGTCCACACTCGTACTGCCACGCATGCACGCCCTTGGGAACAACCAGTGAAGGACAGAACAGCATCGACAAACCAACAAATGTTCCCCCACGACAATCACAACCACTATACTGAAACAATGCTGGCGTTGTGAAGTATAGAAGATGAATTTGGCTTCATTACCTTGCATTCTGACACACACATGTAGCACAACACCAGTTTATTTAAAACTCCTGTGCAGCACTTTGCAAGAAAAACGTAGGCATAAAAACTCCATATAGAACAATCATACTAGAAAAGAACGGAATAGCATGAAACGGTTATCGCACGGATATGCTGATTTGAAAGACAGAAACCGCCTAAATCAGTTGGCAAACGATTTTGGCAAACGAATGGCTGCACAGATCAAGTTTGTGGTCCATGAACTGAACGAACAGTAAAGTCGACTAGAAGAACGTTGGGCAGAGCACTACGTATGAGGAGAAAAAATTATATTACGTATTAATTTTCAATCGAATAAATAATGCAACTCCTTGAATAAGAACAATCAGCACTCTGAAAACACAAATATTCCGCAAGTGTGTCACTGAGCGGCATGATATGAGAGCAAAAATGTACAGTTATGAACAACGGCGGAAGTCCAAAAAGTAGCATGGACGGTTGAATCACACCACTTCTGTTAGACGATCTGTCTTCTGGCTTTCGGTAGGAGATGACACACAGCACTGCTCTCGCATTCTTTGGATTTTCTTCAGTTTTATTGCGCTCACACCCATTCGTATCTGAGAAAGGATACTTTTTAGGAGCTTGTGTGCGAATAAAGAAAAAGCCCACCATTCGAGGCATCTTCTCCGGCGATGACAAATTCCTAGGTAGCTTCCAAACCTCCAGCGGAGTCACATTGTCAACATTCAATAAAGTGTGGGCTTAAATGGCACAAGTCATGGCTCATTTCTGAGAACTGAAACACGCCATCAAAAATTCACCAAGATGCGCAGCAGACGATGCCGTCACTACTCTTCTCGTACGGTTCTGTTGAAGATTCTGACCTGGCGGTTGATATGGTACTGATTCTTCGTCAAACAAATTACTTCTTCTCACAACATCTTCATGGTAGACCTAAAGTAGGGAGAATTACAACTAAAAACAAAAGGGTGACTAAGAAGACTGCTTCCTTGGGCGCAGTGTATTATTACAGGTAGCGTTCTAAAGTAGGGTAGGGTAAAAGATAGGTGATTGTAAGATTCGCCAATGGCCGTTCTCAGTACATGCACGATACAGCCGAAAAAGTACCCGATAAGATCTGTTTCTACGGAACGAGCGCGGCAACATTTAGCGCACATCCGAGGGCCAGGCATCGCTTATCATTCATTATTCGAGTTGTGTCATGTGTACCTCTTTGATCTCTTGAATCACTACCTGTTCCTCAGCTTTGCTTGGCTTTGAATTGCATTGACTAGCGCCGTTTTACTAAAACTTATTTCCTTCAATTTTATTATGTCAGTTGATGATGCTTAATGGATTCCGTTTTGGCCATTGGTTTTGGCGACTGTCCAAATCAGAAATATAGATAAATAAACACACGACTGATTCAGAACAGTACACTGTGCCTGTCTGAATAACCGCTACCCCACCTGGTTGTCATCCAAGTCAATCATTTTGTTGATCTCGTCGACGCGCTGCTGAAATCTGAAAGAGCGGTCAATAAAACAATCTTTTCACTTGCAAAGTGACGAATAAAAGAAAAATTGAAAGAGCACGGAAAGGAAGAAACCTTGCCAGTTGTTCTGGTCCCACTACCTCATCTATTCCAACGACTGCAGTGGACGTCGAAGCAGAGCAGGACGGCCGAGATTTCTTTTCCGGTGGTTCAAATACCTGTGTAACAACGACAGTTTTTTTCTCTAGAACCAGAAAGAAGCAAAAATCGGAAATGAAAGCTTACTGCTAGTTGGGCTTCAGCCGAGCGTTTGACGGGTGTACTCCCGGTCAAGCTTGCACTTCGCAAAACTCTTGTTGTTGGCTTCTCATCATCGTCATCTGTTTTGGGAGTTTCATGACTAATTGACTTGGTGAATTTATTCAACAGGTTCGACTTTGCTCTCTGAGGACGAGGTGAGGGAGTGTGTAGACCGAGAAGAGATTCGCGAGATATCGCAAAACCTTGACATGCCTAAATGATCCAGAAGGATAAGAAGAACAGTTCACTCGCCCGATAGCTTCAACTCTTTCAGAAGTGAAACAGCAATGATTGCTGCATTCATAATCGGTCTAAAAACAAAGATACTGACTGCGTTTTAGGAGATCCCAATTGCTCTGACACGCTAGAAATTGGGGTGTGTGACAAGATCAGTGTGCAGCGCTGGGCGTGGCGAGCAAAGTCCACACGCGAGAAACGCGTGCAGTATTGGGCCATTTCAATGTGAATGTTGAGGACGAGCCACACGATATTACTAGGCATGCTGTATACACACCGCTTGAATTCATGAGTTTCACTCCTTAATTGACAAACATGCATATCAATACTTTGCCGCACACTGCGGCGCGGCAAATTACGATTGATATGTCCGTCTCCCCGCGTTAGCGAACATCGTCGTGAGCTGGGGATCCCAGCGGTAGGCGTAGTTGCTCGCTGGGGAGAGGAACGGGCCCTCGCAGAAAAACTTTCTCGATAATCGGCTTTTCTGGGTTTCAAGGCTTTTAGTTCTATTTCTCGTTTTATTTTTTTTTCACTTATCGCTTTTCCTGTACTCCCCCCGACAGTAGGTTTTCCGGAGAAAACTGCGGAAATTTTGAAAACAAAAAACACTTTTGAAAAGTGATATATAGTGTAGTTCATTGCGGACGGTTGAGCGTTTCGTGCGGCTGCGTTTGGCGGGTGCCAAGCTCGTTCTCCACGAGTTGTTCAAGCGAGCAAATGACAATACTGTGTCATACCTTTCGTATTACTTGTTTTCTACTGCTTTTTGTCGCATGCCCGTTTCAACAAGAAGGCAGAGAACAGCTCAAAGAGGGTGACACACTCATACTGGCTGACACGCCCAATCGTCCGCAGCGAAGTAGAGTGTGCGCACACTAACCCAACGGCCGCACAGGAGCTCCTTTCATTTTTTCTTCATTTCAAGAAGTACCCTATTAGATTTCAAGTCACTAGCGTGCTTCGGACGGAGGAACCGACCGGGGGATTCTATTTCGATAAAGTAACTATGTCAACTAGGAACATGAGCGCAATTCGCAAGAGGGAGATTGTGATTTTTTTTTCAAAGGAGGAAATTGCTTTACTCTTTAATGACCAGTTCACTAAACTTTGAGGAATCTAAAAGTATAGAAAACAGTGGCACCACAGAAATTAATGGTTCAGTATTTACCTGAATTATAGCTTTACTTGCTTTAGCGGATGCTAGGGCGGCCGCTCTCGGTATCCTAGCCCGCTCTTCGCTTATTCGAACCAATTCCGACATCTTAGATTTGTGTCGTGTTGGATTACTACAAACTTTCGCCATTGGTGTAGCTTTCACAACCTAAGATGACTTACTGAATTGAAAATTGCACGAGATTCCATAGAAACGGAGGGCAATATCAAATTTCAATTTTCAAGAAAATGAAGTGCTAAAGCAGAAGACAACAAAATCCAATAAAATCTTAGGATAACAGGTTAGGACACCGATAGTCACTCGAAGAACGAGATCCCTGTGTTGTTCCTTAGAGAACACAACTACTATCTATACAAGTGTCATCCAGCGCGAGCCTTGGAATTTTCGTTTTGAGACTGAGCACTCGAACGAACGAGCCATCACCACACAACTTCTCGAGAAATTCTGCGAAGAAAATATATGAAAAGTTACTTCGACTTTGCAGTCCTCCACAGATGCTCGTAGTTTCTCTTCCGGTGTATCAGGTATAGCACGTGGTATGTGCAAACGTTCAGATTTCCTTTGAACCACCTCTGAAATACGTGGATGGACTTCACAGTTATACCAGCAATGAAATGTCAAAAACTCTCATACCAGAGAGGTTGTTCAGGACTGGCGCGCTTTTTGAAAACGGTTTTTTGTATAATGCAGGGTCACGTGCATGGAGTGCCAAACTGATGTTCATTTTTCCTACGCGCCTATGGAAATACCAGAAAAGAAAAAAAAGAAATCTATGGAAAACGGTGGATTCTGAGCCTCTGTGAGCGCTTCGGCCAGTTCGAGTGGAGGGCCCTTATAAAGGTACTATAGGAGTGGAGGAGAAGAATAGTCGCGAATGGGGTCTTACTTGAGGCATGTGATAGAATGAGCGGCTCTGAGGGCTTGTCGGAATGGTTTCTTCAATGATCGGAGTGGTGTTCAGCTACAACGATCGGATGGCCTAGTGGATAGCGTAGAGGATTCACCATCGGACAGTGAGGGGGGTTTAAGGTTCGACTCCCCTCGGCTTGCGAGTTTTTACATATTTTATGTTTCACTGTTGTCGCTTCCATATATGCCTGTTCATGAATTTTACTCGGATTTCTACCATTTATAAGCACATTCCAAATAGTTATACCCGATGAGTCGGTGCTATTGAACAATTTTGATTTTCACATATCATTAAGCAAGAGCTTTTCTGAAAGTTGATCTTTATATGTTATTCAGCGCCCTGATCATGAATATGGCATTTGCTTTCAGCTGTAGTGTCATTTATCGCCATTTTCGGGCCCACTTCTTTCTCCCACTGGATTCGTTATGTACACTCATTTGAGGGACTTTAAGGCGAAGCCAGATTGCGTTGACGCCAAGAGAGGTATCAGAATCGTGATCAAGACCATCAATTAACCCACTGCGTACCGCGTGCTGCACATGGTGAAGCACTCTTAGTGTGAACTCATTCAGCATTGTTAGATGACTGGAAAGAGTAGGTATATTCCTGAAGTCGTCAGGGACAAAATATGTGTGGGGGGAATCTGCGAGATTGAATAATAGCTATGTTGCTAGCATTTTTCGAGTAATATCCAAACTATTACATTTTTTTATTAACTCTCCTTTACCAATAAAACCGAAATCCTGCTTAGTATACGACTGAAAAATTGTAAAATGGCATGAGTGAACAGCTTCTAAGCACACTGCGTCACTTTTTAAATTCCTCTTAATTTTATCAAGCTTTTTTGGCTAGTTTCGCATTTTTCGGCTTTACTCTTTTATCACGTAACAATATTGAATCCCCTTCAGCATACGTATACTTATAGAAGTGATGCATAATACGATGTGTGTACAATATTTTTATGTTATATGTATAAGATAAAAATCTTATGTTTTTATACTCAGCGTGCCAGAAATCGCGTCGCGCAAATACACTGCGGTACGCAATGGGTTAAACCTATAGGCAAACTTTCGGTTTTTGACTGAAAAAGTTTTGGACTTCGTGGGTTTGTGCATGGGGTTATGCCCCAGTGTTACTCTGTAGAAGTCGTACTTTCCTCGTTACTAAAACCTTCCCATTCAGTGGTACAAAACATAAAACTAACAAAAACGATAAACTCCATAGAGAGAAGAAGGAGGTTATCGTTCTTCCAGGTGCATTTGAAAAAATTTGGCGTCTTTTTCTTCGGTGGGGGAAGACGACATCTTTGTTGAGCGAGCAGTCGCTAGGGTTCGACAAATGTCCATAATGGTTTTTCATTTGTTCTGCGGCCACCCATGCCCATGCCGAGTATGTAGGAATCTTATGAGCACCGAAACCGCGATACGGCTGTACGGCGGCGCGTCACGTCATCTTTAAAGACAGCTCCCGCGATAAAAGTCTCATGGATAGCTGCTTCCCAATTATGAAACAGCAGCTGGTAAGTAATTTCCCAAAGAAGAAAACAGGCAAGAAGCGTTCTCCAGAACAACATAAACAAAATCGCTCCCTCACAGTTATACCTCCCTGCGGTCTCTGTGCAGCCCCTAGCTCACAAGCCTTTCTATCACATCTCGCAGTAATTGATATCATCCAGTACAAAAGAAAGAATACAAAAAGAAAACAACAAAAATGCAGAGGAAAAACTCTAGGAAGGAAAAAGGAATTTTATCAACACGGTGTCTGAATTTGTGATTACGGTAGCGCCACCTTTTGTGCATCGTGGTTTTGCATCACGAAAATTGCGTCACTCGTGTTTTTTACGCGTTTCACCTCGCGACATGAGTTGATTTGAATGTATATACCTCCAAGGAGTAAATTGTAATGAAGGAGAGCAGAAATATCCAGGGGCATTAGCAATGCCCGCCGCTCCAACTAAGAACAAGTGAGTGGCCTCCGTCGGAGGACATCTAGCAAGTAAAGGCGGTCCGACTGAGGAGGAGTTAGAACTAGCACTTTGAGGGGCTATATCAGCCTCCATGTTCACAATAGAGTCGCGGAAGGTGAACAGTCTTCTAGCTTGAAGGCTAGACTACTTGCACAGCAAAGGCGACCACGAGCCACTTTGATCGCGGGGGCTGTCTTTAAGTCATCACCGCTCCGAATGTGTGAGACTCCGGTCATCATCGCCCACCAAATGAATGGTCGATCTATCATCTCAAGAAAGTCAAAAAATTTTTTTGGCCGAAAGTTAGCCTAGGAGTAATCGATGGTCCTGATTACGATTCTGATACCTCCCTTGGCGTCAACGCAATGTGGCTTCGCCTAAAAGTCCCTCAAATGAGTGTACATAAAGAATCCAGTGGGAGAAAGAAGTGTGCCCGAAAATGGCGATAAATGGCACTAAGCTGAAAGCAAATGCCATATTCATGATCAGGGCACTGAATAAATATAAAATCAAGTTTCAGATAAGCTCTTGCTTAATCGTATGTGAAAACCGAAATTGTTGAATAGCACCGACTAAAGGGGTACAACTATTTAGAAGGTGCTTATAAATGGTAGAAGTCCGAATAAAATTCATAAAAAGACATATATGGAAGCGACAACAGCGGAACAATAAAAAATACAAAAACTCGCGAGCCGAGGGGAGTCGAACCATCAATCCCCTCACTGTCCGATGGTGAATCCTCTACGTATCCATTAGGCCATCCGATCGTTGTAGCTGAACACCACTTCGATCGTTGAAGAAACCATTCCGACAAGCCGCTCAGAGCCGCTCATTCTCAGTCACGTGCCTCAAGTAAGACCCCATTCGCGACTGTTCTTCTTCTCCACTTCTATAGTACCTTTATAATAAGGGCCCTCCACTCAGCAACTGGTCGAGGTTGCAAGTGATTTAGAGCTCACACGGGCTCAAAAACCACCGGTTTCTATAGATTTCTTTTTCACTCCTTTTTTGGTGTTTCCAGAGGCGCAGAGGAAAAATGAACTCCATTTCTGTGAATCATGGACCTACCTCTATACCATGCAACAAACCGTTTTGAAGAAGCGCTCCACGTCCTGAACGACCTTCCTGGTTAGTCAAGGAATGGGTGGACCTTTGAGAGTCTCGAGAAAAAGTAAAGAAAATGGGCACTTTTTGGGAAATCCTATTCTATAAATGTAGTGTGCTTGAACAGAAGCACACCGCAACGGTAGAAACAAACACATAAATGCTTTAGTGAAAGCGATAAGATGAAACGAGGGGGGATCAACCGCTAGCAGAGTTGCGATCTATTCCATGTTGTAGTATCAATTTAAAGTGTTGCTCTGAATGTGATAATACAGTTCACTATAAAAGACAACCATTTGATGTGTTCCGAGCCACTGCACGCGTTGCACGCCTGACAGTTTGACGTGGAGCACGTGCAAAGGGAAGAGGAAGGGTGGTGTGGGTGTGAGGAGGTTTATGTGGGGCAGTGGGTACGATGGGGTGGGGTAGACATTTTCCATCAGAAACACACCGCATCGGTGGTCAAATGCTTACATGCATTAGTGAAAATGGTGAGAAGGAAAGAGGAGCGCTCTACCGCTAGCAGATTTGCGATCCAGTCCATGCTGTAGTTTCAGCTTGAGGTACTTCACTATAAATAATCCGCTAAGTCTGTGCGTGAATGTCTGTCTGTTTGTCACGAAATTCACAACGCCGGCCACAGCAACTGAACGATGGTTCCAAGATTTGACATAAGGTATGGGACAGAACACTACTGGTGGAGGACAGGAAGTGATATCAGCTGATATAATTTGATAAGGGGTGTAGAAGAGGGGGGTTACCGAGTCCATAGCACGGGTCACAGCAATAATGGGACATTTGTTCCCGTATGATAAAGGGTATGGAATAGGGACATTATTGCATGCTGACACGAAGGCCAGCAACTGGTAATATATGATAAGGGGAGTAAGAACGAGAAGATCACCATATTCATGACGCGGGACACAGCATCAGCTAGGCGTTAATTCCAGCAAGTGATATAGGGGGAAGAAAGGACGTGGACGGTGGGTGATATACAGTGATTACAACTGATAAGGGCTGATAAGGAACGTTGCCATTGTTCTTCAGTCGAAATGATAGTCTAATACTACATGCATTGTACGCAATGAATGAGTGTAATGAAGACGCTTAATCAGGGAGAGTGAAACAATGTAAAGCTGATGAACCCTAATTATTAGCACGTGCAATCGTTTATGGGACTTCAGCGAGTGGATTGCCGTTAACGTAAAAGGTGAGCGCTCACCGGTAAGCGTTTCGTCGCAGGTAATGGAAACGGAATGTGTCCATCTAAAGAGCAATTCATATTGCGCTGTGTTGGCCGACTGCACCTTCTGTCTATATATCTTCAGGTCAGTGTATGGCATGAACATCATGGCCCATGCCACCTCCCCTCTTCAAATAGAAGCGTGGACTCAGGAGTGCAGCGCTATGTTTCCCTAACTATTACGATTAGATCAACACAGCGCAATGTGAGCAACTCAGTGAATGTTCCGTTTCCATCATGAAATGCGCCTGGCGAAGACAGGCTAGCCCGGCGAAGCCGCGCTAAAGTGAAAGAGGATACTTCGGCGTCAGACTGGCGATCTGACTGGTATCCTAATATATACCATTTTCACTTTGAAACGGACACTTTTCAAACCAAATCGGACACTTTTCAAACCAAATCGGACACTTTTCAAACCAAATCGGAAACTTTTCATACCTAATCGGACACTTTTCAAACCCAATCGGACACTTTTCAAATTAAATCGAACACTTTTCAAATCAAATCGGACACTTTTCAAACCGAATCAGACACTTTTCAAATCAAATCGGACACACCCCTTACAATTAGGTGGTTGATAACTAGACCACTTTAGGTACTGTTGCAAGCCCCGCCCCATTATCCCCGCCCACTTCTCAGCGCGGACAGGGTTATCCGAGATGCTTCATGAAATCTGCTCCCTCGACTTTTTTCGTTTTTGCCCTTTGCACACACACTTCAATTGAAAAAGATCGATACCTATACAGATCTGACTCCGCCCACTTAACAATGAGGTTACGTGGGTTCTGAATTTGTATAACTTTTTCGACGCAGTTCTTTTCACATCCAGTCTTCACAAAACGAATAACCATGCACAGCACAATAGGCCCCGCCCCTCTGACCCGGCCCACTTGTGTCTATCGCGGATTTTGCTTTTTCTTCCGGACTTTCGCTTTTTTAGGCTTTAACGACCGGCTCCGCCCACCAATAGAAGCTTCGCTCACTTTTCGAAAATGATGCAAATCGGCGGGCTAGTGTCCGTACTGGCGGAATACGGCCTCTCCCGTCGCTCAGAACAAAGTTTCCCTTTTTTTCCGGTTTTTCCCTTTTTTTTATTCTATGTGCCGAATGGAGAGCGGTCAGCACGGTAAATATTACAAACCGACTGCTGCAACGTAGAAATCAGAAGAGTAGCCGTGTTTATCCAAGAAACGACGTAGTATAGCAACATTCACACGCTTGCCTACCTATCAACTCCCCCCCCCCCCGATAGAGAAAGAACTAAGGAATTGACAGAAAGGACGCCAAACTTCTCCCCTTAATGGAATGGAAGTCTATATAAAGTGGAAGCAAGAACGCACAGAGAGAAAATTCCAAAGGGATATTTCCACAAGCTCACTTCTGGAAGGCGATTTCACGCCGTCATCACCAACAGGTTTCGCAATAACAGCTTCTTTTGAGTCCTTTGCATTCTTTTTGGATGCTTTGCCTTTGATGTTAGGAGGTTCTTCTTCAGGCGCATGAATTTCTTCGATGAGTTGATCCAGTTGTTGCAGACGACCACCACTATTCACTTTGTGAAACAATGGGAAAGCAAGGTCATCATCCTGAAACATTGCACTGTAGGAAATCTCGTTAGAGAAAATGCCTTGAAAAATGAATGTGAACGAAATAATCGAAGGCAAGGAAGAAGGATACTGGTGGACATACTTTATTCCAAACCGAGTCAAATTCTTCCAGGTCGTCTGGTAGCTGTATGCAAAGCTCATCGAAAACGTCCGCAATCAACTTGGGAACAAGATGGATGAAACTTAAAATGAGTCTCATCGAGATAAAAAATTTATAAAGAAAAAGAAAATGGAAATAAAGGTATTTACACTACATGAAAAATAAAGTTATTCGCCGTTGCAGTAATGGCGAACAAATGTAAAAAACATCCCCTACTTGTCAGACACTTGCTCTTCCAAGAACGTTCTCATCTTGCTAGCACTCGCAACGAAGTAAACTATTCTCATTTTCCTAACAATCTAAAACTTTTGAGTATAAGGTGAGGGATCGAGCAGAACAAAATGCAGAAAACATACCTCATTCACTTTTGCTGGCTCCTTTGGGTCAAGGTAGCTGGTGTATATCTCCAAGAGAACCTGTAGTTGAGTCTCACGAAGTCTACGCTCCCCACTGGTCAGTGAACTTTCGTACTGTCTATTCAGCTCTGCACACGAGCGTATCACATGATTTCGAAGAAAATCACACACCATCGTCTGAAGACGAAGCTATGAGACGCTGGATGAGATTTCACAATTCTTTAATTACCCTCGGTCGCAAGTCAGGCCACGGCTTGAGAATGCGAAATGACCGCTTAAAACGCCTACAAGAAGGGTCTACAATTAATACCATAGTTATTGGTGCGAACATGATATAGAACCAGTCTCCCACTTTCTTCTTTTTTCCGCAATTAATTTTTCAGTTAATTTTTTTAAATTAATATCATTCTAGATGGCCGACAGACCAACACAGCGGAGTGACAGCCTACTCGAAGAATATAAACAATCCTTATACAAAAGTAAATGGGAATATCAGCCGAATTCGTCATTCAACAGAAGAATCACCCCATATATATAACGCTTCGCCTATTTCTTTGTTTGTAAGTTTGTTTGTTTGTAAGTTTGTCTGTCCGGAAATTCGGTTCGACCTGAAGAACGAGTTGGAGAGGTCGGGTCAAGGTGGGGATGGTCAGGGCATGGGACAAGAATTAAAAAGCACATTTGACTTAAGGGAAGCCCCGCCCACAGTGGGCGGGGCACTCGCCGAAAGTTTGGGGTTCCGCAGAAAAATGTTCATAATTCGCTTTCGGAGCAGCTTAAAGATGAAGAAAAAATGGAATAAGGTTAGTGAGAAGTCGCCAGACAAAATGTGGCAGACACTTCCAAAATGGGCGGAGCGTACTCAAAGAAGGCGGTGCTTCTCGCAAAATTCAGTAACCCGCTTCGCGAGTGTCTAAAAGTCTCAAAAAACTCTGTGTACAATCTAAATATCTGGCGAATATAGGCACGCTCAAAGTGTGTTAAGACCCGCAAGGCGCATACAGTAGGCGGAGCTTGTCCTGAATCGCAGGGTATTCATTTTAAAAGTTTGTAGCTCGGTTCCAGAACACTCCAGACACCGGAAAAAAGTGGACTAAGGTCAACAGAGGGTCGCCGGTGAGGATTGTGGGGCAAAAACATCCGGAAAAAAGTGGAGCACAGAACAAAGGGCGGATATCAGTTGAGTCTAGAAATATGTGAAAGAAAATACGCACGGCAAAGCCGCGCTCGCCCGGCCCAGCCGGGCCGTATCAGAAGGAGGCGCGCCGGTGTTAGCCGGCGAGCCGACTGGTAATGAATAAGAGCTAGAGATGAACGCAGTAACAACGATTCTTATGCGAATTTATCACCCCATATATATAATTCGCTTTGTCACCCCATATATATAATTCGCTTCGTCTGTTTGTTTGTAAGTTTGTTTGTTTGTCTGTTCGGAAATTCGGTTCGACCTGAAGAACGACTTGGAGAGGTCGGGTCAAGGTGGGGATGGGTAGAGCAAGGGACAAGAAATAAAAAGCACACTAGACCTATGCGAACCCGCCCACAGTGGGCGAGGCACTCGCTAAAATTTTGGGGTTTCGCAGAGAAATGCTCATAATTCGCTTCCGGAGCAGCCTGAAGATGAGGAAAAGTTTAGTAAGATTAGCAAGGATTTGTCACAGTTCCTGTGGGAGACACCCCCAGAATGGGCAGGGCTGAGGTGGGCGGTGCTTCTTATAAAACTCAGTAGCCCGGTCGCGAGCGCGCTTAGAAGTTGCAAAAAGCTCAGTGCACAATATGATATCTGGTGAGTGTTGGGAACGTTCAAAGTGTGTTGAGAACCACCCACAGTGAGCGGAGTTGCCTAAATCGCAGGATACTCATCTCAAAAGTTCCCAAATGAGCATCAGCTAAAAGTACCCCTAATCATCAATAAAGTACCCTAAAATCATCGAATCATCGTTTGGCAGAAGCAACTAAAGATTCTCAAAATAGTCTTTTAATGACTTGTCGCACCTATGGTTCGAGGCACAATTGACGAGGTGCGAAGCGAGCTCATTTAAGCCGAGGCACGTCGTGCTAACTGCGGTTGGCCTCGCAAGAGGTGTAGTCATTCAGCTATAAAAATTCCTGACATGAATGCATCGAAAATGGTTAAAGTGGGTAAAAGGTTGCTATATATTTCAGCTATTTATGAGTTTATTATTATTATCGCGTTTTTATTATCTTGATTAGCATTATTCAAACAAAAGAAGTGTGCAGTATGAGCGAAAATGTCTGCATGCTTCACAGCTGCTTTTTTCATTTCTCAGATGTATCTTCATCGATCGGGTTGAACTGCCGAGCCTCACGAAAAGGTCTGTCAGTACTGATCGTGAATTCGAAGGATGCTCAATTGTACGTAATAGAGGGTGCTGGTGTAGCAGCGGAACAGAGTGTTGCTTCCTGACCGGCATATTAGGATGTTCCCAGTGCTGGGGAAAAGTGTATGGGGAGGACGGCTCCACGTGGTAAGAAGTTGCTGGTACAGGGGTAACGCAGTATGTTGGTTCCTGACCGACGAAGTGAGAAGGTGATAGTGCGGGAGGAAATGTGCATGGTGGTACAAGCCCTACGTCATACGAAGGTGCTAGTTCTGGATAAAAATTGTGGGGAGGTGTTACATACAAAGTTGTGGGAGACGACGTCTGAGGAAACTGAAAACGGAACGGCTGCATCCACATAAGAGGAGATTCAGCAGAATATAATAATGGTGGATTAGTACTTGAATACATGACAACATAAGGAACTTGCTCAAACAAACACCTCGCGTGTTTGCTTTCCGCCTGTTAGCTTAAGTATCTACTCATGCCCCCCCCCCTTCGTTGAGGAGCTGTGTTTGGCCAGAGGGCTTTCAAAGTGACAAAGAAGTCATTATCGGGATAATATAGAAGAGGCCAGATACCTGAACTAACCCGCCGAAGGCAGGCAATGAGGTTCAGCGATATCCAAGGATGCACTTCGTAAACAGCATGGGTTTCTACGTTCTTGAAGCTTTTCGTCATGAAATTTGGAGATTGAGCGTATAATTTTTTTTATCGATGTTTGGTTGGAAGCTAGGCATTATACCATTCCATTCAGTTTGACAGGTAGCGCTACCTTATCGTGTTACTTTTTTCATAAGCCTTCTTCCCTTTGGAAAATCCTCACGTTTTCTCAATCTGTTGAGAGGTTTCACTCAATTTGTGCCAATCTTGGTAGCTCGTGCGTGCCTCGGCCGACCTGCCTCAGCTTAGAGGTCCCTTCGCACCTCGTTAATTAAGCCTCGAATCATAGGTGCGACAAGACATTAACAGGGGGTCAATCGTCCCATTTTCCTACGACTCCAAATTCTATCCAGACATCAGCATGACTTCAGAGAAAAGAGGTCGACGGTAACACTAATGTTAGAAACACTAAATGACACAGCTGTACTGTACGTTAAAAATAACCTTGATGTCGTCTATTTTATTTCAAAAAGTTTTCGACAAAGCTGTCCATCCTATTTTGCTCCAAAAACTTGTGCAAGTGGCCATTCACGATAGAATCATCAAATAGATAAAAAAGTTCTTGAGTGAGCGAACTTTCCAAGTTAGAATTGGTACTTCACTGTCTGAAGTTCGAAATGCCCCAAGTGGAGTTCCCCAAGGAGCGTCCTATCCCCGTATTATTCAAGATGTACACTTTCGATCTGCCGCGTTTAGTGGAAAAGTTACGTTAAACCTAAAATGTTTGCCGATGACTTGAAGGTCTATTGCCCAGTCAGTGGAACAGGTCCTCTCCAACTTCAGCATGCAATAGATACTGTGGTGCGCTGGTCCTCCGACAACATGCTCCCTTTAAATATCAGTAAGACCAAAGTCTCTCATTTAGGACAATCTAATCCATGCGTGCAGTGCCTAATCAATAACTGTATCCTAGATACGACTGAATCAGCAAAGGACTTGGGCTTCCTTGTTGATACAGAATTGAATTTTAAGGAGTACTTGAATAATTTAGTGAGTAAGGCGGAACAGAGAGTGTTTTTGCTATTTAGATCATTCAAGTCTAAGGATCCCGTACTGCTCATGAACGCCTATAAAATTTATGTGCGTTCAGTTCACGTGTACGGCACAAGCATCTACTTTCCGCGTAAAAAGCGTAAAAAGAAATTCATTGACAAATTGGAGAGGATACAGAATGCCTTCACTAGGAAACTATTCATCAGGGTCTTGGGATTCATATATGCGAGCATTCCCCGCAGTTTTATTAGAAATCCTTAATTGAGATCCTCTTCATTTAAGAATGAGAAAGAACGACATCCTCATGGTTCTCAATATTTTCTAAATAAGCGAGTTGAGTTGGGTTGAACTCCAACTCCTGCTTTGAGTTGGTTCAGTCCAGAACTAGAGAAGAACGGTTTAAACTTTCATCACGGCAACTTCGGGCGAAAATTCTTTGCGTTTCGTGCAGGAACGGAGTATGTAAGGATGAGCAAGAGTATTCCAATACCGTTCAACGGATTCAAAAAAAACTTTGTTTCGCTACCTGCACAGGGCTTGATCGCGTTTTCTAGTGGCTCTAGATTTTATTTTCTGTTTGCTCGTTGTTCGTTTCATTATTTGTCATTGATCAATTTACATGTTGGAAAACATGTAATAAAATTGGTTGGAAATCTGTCTCATGGGGTAGTTTTGCTCCATGAACACGACGATGACACCCGTTTGGCACGCAAACGCCTGTGGCGTCATGTACGCAAAAGTCTTTGTAGGTTGCAGGCGACGAAACCAATTGGGGAACTGCTTGCTATTTCTTTGTAGAGACAAGCACAGGCACACAGCTGTCTTAGAAGTCTTCATAACAAAGTTTCCCTGAACCGAAAAACCTAATCACTGCGGTGATACGATTCCACGACCTGTTGCCTAGGAAGCATGACCACTAGTCCTCATTTTCGCAACTATTTGGTTTGAAGGGGCATTATATACGGGGAGCGCCTCCTTGCAGTACCGCGGAAAAACGGAGGGGGATAAACTCCTAGCTTCAAAATACCGTTCAGGTAATCAATATACAGGTTTCGACAGCAGGTTTGAGATCAGCGTCATAAAACGCATCTGACGATTACGAACACTTTTTATTCAGGGAGAAGCTCCAATTAGCGAAGCGATGGTATCGGCACGTAGCGAGAATGACATCCCAGC